AAAAAAAAAAAAAAATACATTTAATTAGAAACTAATTACGTATAGACCTATAATGGTCTCATAATAACATATTATATGGTACATTATTGGTACAGTGATACAGTATCAGTGAATTGTAAAATAATGAACTTTTACAATAAACCAAATATTTGTCCGAACTTCATGAATTCTGGACAAGCTATTATAGTTATTGCACAGAACATAAATTGACGTTAATTGTACTAAAATATAATATTAAATTACAAGACTTAATCATGTGTCCTTTTTTATATTTTTGGAATATGAGCAAATTCAAAGGTTAATTTTAAATATTTATAACAGATGGTTTATTGTTTATTCAAATTAAATGTAAATGTCAACAGTAATAAATAATAATTATACATATCATATATATAATATTATATAGTAGGTATATCACAAACGCTTCATAACAGTATAACCAAATGAACTCAGTGGTGAATAAATTCAAATGCAATTTTTTCAACAGAATTGTATAATAATTTATAGATAGAAAAATATTAGTTTCAGAAAAAAAAATTTATATTGAAAAACCATATTAAAATATTTCGATTTATCAGAGAAATATTAAGCTTACACATAGTAGGTGGAGCATAAAACAGTGGCGTAGCCAGTATTGTTTTTCGGTGAGGAAGGGCTCATCAATTTTTACACTTTGGTGGTTTACCAAAAAAAAAGGACATCAGATTAAAAAGCTTAATCCAATAATACTTTTTTATATCGATGTGGAGGGGAGGGGCTGCAGCCTTCTCGGCCACCCTGTCTATACCACTGGAACAGACCATATAACCATACAGTCAGCATCTACCGTTTTAGTAATACAAAGTTTTGTAATGTGATGCAATATAATGTCATGTTATACATGTGTAAAGAAATTATTGAAACAATAATATAAAATTAAATTTAATACCTTATTATATTGAGCAAATAATAATTTATATATTTAATTAAAGTTTCTTATTATATACATTTTCAATAGGTGTTCCTTCAGTACTTAAACATAAGTTTTTAAATGGTTTTCGAATTGTTATCGTTCGAAGTGGGTAGAAGTTGCAGGTCATTTTTTTTTGGCCTTTCTATGTTTGTAGCGCTTGGTATCGCTATATTTTGGGAACTTTGCGATTAATATATCAAGTTTGATAATGTTAACTTTAAGCTCTTGTGTAAGTTTCACTTCACCATCTTTTGTATATTTTAATTTAGGTATTTGTTGGTTCTATTTCACATCCCCTCTCATCTTCTCATCTCTAATTAGGTAGTCTTGTAATTTATTACTATATGTAACGCTACGCGTGCGATACCTTGGTTTTTTTTGACACTGTTTAGGTTTACTTAATTTCCTCGCAGTTAAAATTTGTTTTGGTTTAATACTTGTTGCAGTTCACCCGTTATTAGAGATTGAGTTTCTCGTGTTTTAAATTGCAGCTCATCAGTCTTCGGAGTCTGTGTTGTTTTTGACGCCGTTTGTCGTTCATTGGTCATTGAAAACATTATGCAATTATCATCTTCTAAAGTAAAGCCCTCATCAGATGAAGGTTGTGTTGATATTAATTCCATCTCATCAGTCATCAATATCTGTGTCGGTTCTATTGATAGTTGTTGGTCATCATTTATCGAAATCCGTGAATAAATATTATCCATAGAAAGATCGTCATGAAGCATTGGGTCATTTTGAAACAGTGATGAGCAGGGCTGTGAATTTCATGCACTAAAAAAGTCTTGAATATGCATGCATTTATGCACTAAAAACAAGTGAAATATGCTTTAAAATATGCACTATAAATTATAAAATTTAAAAATATGCAAAATATGAAAAAAAAAATTATACTCACATATACTGGATGAAAAAACGTTTTATTTAAATAAATATTGTAATTACTAATTAATAATTATAAAATGACTTGAAAAATGGACTTGTAATAATAATAATAAATGCTTCAATGTTCTATTGTTCTTCGACGCCTGAAAAAAAACATTAAATATAGATAGAACACATTGTTTTATAGATATTTAAACAATTTATTTGTTTACCTGCAAAATAAGTATTGCATTGTACAATCAGCGATTTCTTTATATTTTCAAACTTGAATGATCTCCTATTTGGCGCCAAGAGGTTTTTGTACACAGAAAATGAACGCTCTACATCAGCTGACGTGGTAGGGGCATACTTGAAATATCCCATGTCACTACTTGTTAAGTTTTCAGGTATATCTAAACAACCAACGTTTTCTTCTTCTCCGTTTAATATTTTTGAAATATTGCAAACAATTTGAAACCCTTTATTTTTAGTAAGAACTGTCTGTAATTTCTCGTTAATTTTGATTCCGGTCTGGCATTTTAAATTATTGAATTTGGCTGAAACATCTTCAATAATCTGTATCGCTTCTATTAATGCCATGCCTTGTTTTTGAAGACGTGTTATAGCCGTAGGAAGGCACTCAAAGTTTGATTTTATAAATGCTAAGTTACCTTTAATCTGTGGTGCTTTAAAATATTTTTGAGCATTTCTAATTGAAAGCGCATCATCTTCATCAAAACTTTCAACAATATTTTTTTACAATTTGGAAGTTTTCACAATAATATATTGAAGCGGAAATCCATATTCCCCATCGTGTCAGAATTGGTTCGGGGGGTAGAGCTATATTAGGCGCATCAGTCTTAAATTTTATAATACGAGATGGTGCCTTTTTAAATACTTTTTTTAACATTAGCAACCAGTTTATCTACTTTGGGATATTGAATACGGATATATTCGGCAACTCTATTTAATCCATGTGCTGTGCATGTTACATGGACCATTTTT